GGGGTTTAAGCATCAATGTTTAGACCGTTTTCCGACGACGGGAAGGTGAGTCCGCTCACAGGGTCAGTGGATGGCAATTTAGGAGGGCGAAAATCGAGTGGGAGGTCGCGGATAAGTCGATAAGGTGTTGGCCGAGTACGAGTAAACACACATGGTTAAGATATTATATAAATTTAATTAGTAAACGCTATACAAAAGGATACAAATAATAATAATAATAATGATAATGATTCCAAACTGAAATTCCAATAGGGAGTTAGCTAAATTACATCTAGCGTATTTCGACAGAGGATAGTCTCTGATCCTCCTTAATATTTATTTTGGAATTAGCCCTAGTCCACCTGAGAGAAAAGAGAGAGTTCTACTTACTAAGTGGTAGATAATATCATAGAATCTAGCTTTGTCGTCCGTCGTCGGCGGTCAGCGTTTGAAGGCAGTTGATCCGTTGTTTCTTGCTATCTTGAAGGCCACACCCGATAACTGGGCCGAGAGCCCTCTTTATACCAAATTTGAGGGAGTGAGAACTATGACATTACTAATGATTTATCCGCACACCTGTTAGTGTGTTGATGTTTGGATCTAGCTAGTACGGACCACATGCACAGAGAAGTTTGGTTAATTTACTGATATTGGTGTCCAGAAGATATCATTTTATAATATAAATTTCTATAGGTTTGACGGTTCTCATCCATAAATTAACATTCAGCTGACAATAATTACTTTAACCTGGTCAACAATCTAGATATTGTTTATATCAAACGTAGCGTTTGACTACGAACGAGGCGATTTATTGCCGGAACCACGTATCACGTGCAACCAAAGAGGGGATAAGAAACATCTCTTATTCCCGTCTTGTTGATATTTAACGTCTATAGAATTACCGTTAAACAAATGGAGGAGATTTCTTTTATTGATATTTTAACATTCGCTGTATTTTCTTATTCGAGGAGAGCGTCTCGGTCATTGACCGCAGAAGTCCCCCCTTTTCCCTTTACAAGGAAAATTCCGAGGTTTATACTGTTCTAAAACAGAAAAAGAGTTTCAGACCTTCACACATAGTAATATACTATATAGAGTTTTTAAACTTTAATATTTTTCATGTGAGATTTTCATCAGAGTTCAACAAAATTACTCCTAATTCTTTATTACCTAAATTTTATATACAACTATGATTGAAAATAATCAGACTTCTTAATTGTTCGCGAAATACCTAGCCATGTTTTTTGTATTTAATTATTTAAATATTAATTTTTATTTTGTTTCTTGATTGTCGATACTTATTTGCATGTTTTAATATTATTTATCATGTAAACACTTGATGTACAGTACATATTTCGTAGGTATTTAGTTTAGTAAGAATAGGAAAAATTCCTGTTTCTAATCTTTTCAGCTGCAATAAATTTCAAGACAAAGATATTCTTTGTTTGTATAATACGTTAAAAAGTTAAGATGATATTCTCAGAAAATAGTTAAATACTAAATAAATAAAAAGGAAAATTTTTAATTTATACTTTTTATAAACTATTTAGGAATAAGTTAAACACTTATAAACAGTATGAATATCGAAATCCATTGTTTTGCTTCTTAACAAGTTCTTATATAAGCACTATTCTCATTACCACTATCAAATGATAAAACTTTATCATTTGGTAGTGCTGATAAGATAACGAAGTATTTTAATTGAGTAACAATACAAATCTTTTTATAATACGTTCGTTAATAATATTTGCCCTTATTCAGGTAAGAAATTTTCTAAATGATGCTTTTATGAAGATATTTTCATATTAGAAAATTGTACATAAATGAAGTACTTTTTCAGTTAATATCAATATAAGTGTAATTACGTGTAACATTTATTGTCGTAAATTTACTTTTATAGTGATAGGTGTGTCATATAAGATAAGATAGCTTATAGCATAAAGGCTTATTGTAAATTAAAAACGCTGCAGCAAGTATTGTTTTAAATATAAATATGTATTTTTTTCTGTTGTAGCATGAGAATACCTAACTTTTTCAACTTTTTAGGTTAGAGTAATATTCTTCTCTCTACTATTCATACAGAAGTATAATTTTTATATGATTATATTCTATTTTCTTTAGTGGAAAATATACACTACTACATACATGCAAGATCATAAAAGATGTATTTTTAACCAACATAAATTGTGTACTGCTAATATTTATATTTTATAATTTATATACTGTTGGGTGAATAAATTCTGTTCGTAATTAAATAGAATATGCCCTTGTGACTAAAGGATTTAAATATTTTTATTTACATTTATTCTATTTAAAATAAAATAACAGTTCGAAGGGAATGAATAGTAATTTACTAGAAATTAGATTTGGTTGCGTTCGAGATACGTTTCGTAACTTTATTTATTTTCCAAACACAATGCAGCGTTTAAAAAAAACGCTAGATTATACTTAATTTTTATTCAGTATCCTCTAACATTAGCCGAAACTCATTTCGAGCATATTTTGTCTTCCTCAATTGTTCCTGTAAAGTGATGTACTGTACAAGATCTCGATTTTGTTCATGGGAATAGACATTTACTTTCTTTGCTTTGCTGTGTCAACTGACAAAGAGCAAAACGTTCTCGAAACAGGTCTTGTCTAATAGAAAAAAATATTAAATAAAGGATGCTGTGTAATCCAATGTTTTTTGAATACACTCAATAGTGTATACAAAAAAGTAAACAATAATACATAAATTCATAATATGATCGGGAGCCAGAAATTTTAAATTTTTAAATTTTATTCAAACGTTTAAATTTTGTTATAGAAAAAATATGAAAAAATAATTAGAATTGTTGTTACGGCTAAAGGGAATCTTAGCCAGGCACAAGTTCAAAGTGGTGAGTCCGTACCCCAAGGTTCAAATCTATTCTGGGATATACGTTCGTCTTTCTTCTTCTTGCTTCTCGCACTCGCCGACGTCCTAACGACAAGTAACCAAATCACAAAGTGTCTGACCCTGCGGTTCCTCTCGTACCGCGCAGGATTACTCTCGCAACGACTTCCCTTGCCGTGGCTAGGGGTCTTCTACCTTAGGGGCGTTTAGTCATAATCTTGCGAACAATAGCTTCGCGCCACTGGCCACTCGACCAAGCAGATGTACAGTACAATACCAAGTGTCCGTTACAATTGTTGTTCCCCAAAAAATTCGCTTGCGCCACTAACTATAGGTGGCGTATGAGTCGACTAAAATGGCTGCCACAAAGGGTATAGCGTGCCTGTCAACGTAGACAACATACAAGTAACTCTCGTTTGTAATAACCTCTCTCTATAGTGAAAACGTTTTATCCGCAATCTTGTTCGACATAAACAACATTAAAGAAAAAAATATATAAGACAAGATGACGAGGATGGTTGCCCAGTCGAAATAAAAATTTTCGCTCTCTGCTTATCTAGTATTGTTTCAAAGAAACCTCACGAAATCACATTAAATATAAAATGGAGATCAGAACTCAATAAATATTTGATGACATCTATCCAGTGTACTTGTATAGCAGGAGAATCAGGATACTGTAAGCATTCAATAGGGACACTGCTTCATATAAACAGGTAAAACACTCAAATATTTAACTAATAGGTTAGTTGTATTGGCATGAAGATATAAACAAGTACTTTTCTCTTGCAGGTATGGTAATACTTTAGAAGATCTGAGTTGTACTGATCTTGAGCAGTATTGGAACAAAATGTCAAGCAGGTCTGATGGGAGATATGGAGCTTGTAAAGTTGAAAACTTATGCCATGTCCAAACAAAGGAAACAGAAATTCTTTCATTAAATGAAAGCCAAAGAGATGCTATCAGAGAACGATTTTTTCAAGAATTGCCTGATTCTGCTTTAGCAAAGCATTCAATTGGAAGAAAATGCTTAGTAGCCAAAGCTGTACAAAGTTCAGCTGATAATATTGCACCACATTGGTCAATATTAAAAGTAATTGAACACTGTATGGACTGTAATAAATATTTGCCTAATATAAGCGATCATCTTATGCCTATTCAGGGTTCAATGTACTACAGGGAAAATATTTACAAAAACAAGAGAGAGATAGAAAACATTTGCCACTTGACAATAGAACAAAATAATGATTTGTGGAAGAAAGAAAGAAGTATTAGAGTGACAGGATCAGTGTGCTATGAACTATATACTTATGGAAGGAGGAAAAATGCAGACTGGGAAAAGAAGTTAACAAATATATTTAGAAGCAAATTTAAAGGAAATGAAAATACAGAGTATGGTAAAAAGTGGGAAAAAACAGCACTCACATTGTATGGAACCCTCTATGGTTGTGATGTCAAACAGTTTGGTTTAATAATTTCACCATTACTACCATGTTTTGCATTTTCTCCTGATGGGCTTGTATTCAACGATGAAAAGCCTATCAAGCTGCTAGAAGTAAAGTGCCCCAAAATTGGTGCATAAAAATCTGCAGAAGAAATGGTGCAATCTCTTAAGTATATAGTACATGATGGGCAAGGCAATTACAGCTTTAAAAAAAATCACAAGTATTATGGGCAGGTACAATTAGGTTTGGCTATATTAAATTTAAATTCATGTGATTTTATAATATTCAGTAGCAAAGACCAAACCCTTAAAAACCCTTGAAGTTTTAGCAGATCATAGTTTTATTCATAAATTGACAGAAAAGCTATTAAATGATTTTACCAAAATTATTTTCCCTTATCTATGCAGAATTAATTCTTAAATACAACGATCTTGCTTTTTCCATCAGAAATCACATTTAGAAGAAAATACACATTACTTTGAATTTTATTAACTTATAACAATATTAGCACCCATAATGTTTATGTAAATAATACAAAATGAATGATGCAACAAATTAAAATAGTCATTTTCTTTTATTCAGTATTTTATTCATAATTTGCAAAGAAAGATATTTTCTTACAGATTTATGCAAAATAAGTATAGAGTTAAGTACTAATAATTTTATAAAACATATTGTTATGTTATGTTTTGTTTTGTTTTGGAATAAAATGTTTTGTCCTAACTAGTGTTTGAGTTCTTTATCATACAAAAATTGAAAAACAAAAATGAGTAAGCCTTATTAACTATGAGATTATGAAAAAACAGTATTAAATTGCTGTTTAATACTGCTTCATTCATTATATAGAGTCAAAATGAAAATGTTCACACCACAAATAATGGTTAGAATTTTGTCAATGTGTGGCAGTAAAGTCCAGTCTAATTTTTGTTTTAAAACAGCAAATAGTTTCATTCTCTGAATAGCTCGTTCAACATGTACCCTGGCCTTTGCTATTTCTGCAGTTTCCAGTGCATCATGCTTGCTTAATTGATTTTGCTTTCTTACAAATGGTGGGCGTACTAAACCAATAGCTCTAGCAGAACAAGCATCTTCTATGTGAAAACCCTTATCCGTCATTACTTCATCTGTATAAGGATCAAGTAAAGTTAACAAATTTGATTCTTCAAATATCGCTTTGTCAGATGCCCTACCTCCATATGCTTTACTTAAATAGGTGATAAGACCAGATGGGGCAATTCCAACTAATACTTTAACAGTATGCTTACCATAGTAATGGGAGTAAGTTAATATTCTGCAACTAATACACTTTGGTTTTTCAACCAAAACTTCAGTGCAGTCCAAAATCACACAAACTTTGCTGTATTTTTGAAAGCACAAAGGTAAGTTTTTCATTATCTCTTCTTTGGAAGGCCACACAATCGCAGCACCTAATACTTGACTCAAATAAGCAATAATATTGAAAAATATTCTTCTACATGTTGTTGTGGAAATTTGAAATAAAACTGAAACACAAGCAAAGGACAAAGCTAGTTTTAACTTCATCATAACAAGAACAATTTTGACTTTAGTAGATAATGTAGTAGTCTTACAGGCAGTATTGTTGGACTGCAACTCACTAACACAGGCAGAAGATGGTATCAAGCATTTTAAAACTGTTTAAACCTGTGAGAATATTCAATTCATTGTCTGATTTTATTAAGTCAAACACAGTAAATTTAAGGTTGAATCTAAAAATGTATTCACTTGAATTCCTTTTTCCATTAAAATATCCCTCTCCTCCTGAATGTTGGATTTTTTACTTAAACTTAAGAGTGCCATTGCTGCATCTTTTTCTGTTTGTGATACTGATGTCATATCTTCATTCTCCTCGATTTGTGATATCATTTGTTGATCTGTACAAGCACAGCAGTCAATAGTAAAACCTCGATTATCCGCCCTAATTGGGGACTGGGGTTGGTCGGATAATTGAAAAGTCGGATAACCGAAAAGTATGAAAAAATCCATTATTAGTGTAGTATATTATTATATCCCATGTAATTAGTATATTAGTATATNGTTTAAACCTGTGAGAATATTCAATTCATTGTCTGATTTTATTAAGTCAAACACAATAAATTTTAAGGTTGAATCTAAAAATGTATTCACTTGAATTCCTTTATCCATTAAAATATCCCTCTCCTCTTGAAGGTTGGATTTTTCACTTAAACTTAAGAGTGCCATTGCTGCATCTTTTTCTGTTTGTGATACTGATGTCATATCTTCATCCTCCTCTATTTGTGATATCATTTGTTGATCTGTACATGCACAGCAGTCAATACATGATTTAGACCAGGATGTACTGGGCTGTGACAGTTCCAAAATATTGGTGTCATTATTAGGTTGTTATGCAGATTTTTCCTTGATGGAAGTTTTCTTATTTTCCGGTTCCAAACCTAAAAATTTATTGATTTCAATCATTATAAAGATCTTGTTTTGGCATAGCGTTATTAAAGAAATGCATCTGACAAATTATAAAGCTTTTATTACTTCTGGTGACTGCTTTAGTTCAAATATGAAAATTAAGAAACAAACCTTTATTCCGTATTTCTTGTCTTTTTTGGGCACGAATGGACCTTTGCTCGGCAATCTGTTTTGAGGTGCTTGTATCAAACTTCCTTATCGGTATGTTTTTAGTTGGATACGAATTAGGTTTTAAATAATGACGAGCACATGGTAAACCGATAAAAACGTAAGTACCGTATGTGATAACAGTTAAAATATACTTATAAGAAATGTTGTTATTACCTGGCAAATAGTAATCATCTTTGTCAAAATGCAAACTGCAAACGTACGTAGATTTCGTTGATTGCTTTCCTAACTTCAGTTTTATTTCCCACTTTTTTCTCAGTAATTTATCTTTTGGGAATGTGTGCATATGTACTGAGTTTGATGTACCTTTAGACTTACATCCAAATACACAGCAATACTTATTATTTACCATTGTAGGTTAAACACTTTTTAATTCTTACTGACCACAGACTTACATTATACCCATTGTAGTCGCCATTATGTAGTTCGCGCTAATACCGTTAGATGTCAGATCGATCGTTGGCGCAAGCGAATACACCTCTATTAGGTGAATCAAATAAAACCTCGTACTGGATATTTACAAAACTATTTCGTATTCTGTAACCTAATGTTTCTCTGTATCGAATAGCATTTATCTACTTAATAATCGATATACAATAAACAGAATACAATTTTTAAGAGCTTTATACAAGTCCTGTGTACACCTACTGTTGTATATTTGATGAAATATGCGCTGTCATGTTATGACCTAGTAGAATATTACATAAATATATGAATATATCGTTTAATAATTATAGTAATATTAAGTTTTATTTCACCAAATATTTTTATGGGATTAAATTTGAATTTTTTATTTGTTAATTCTATTTTAAATGAATTTTTCGTGATGTACCCGAGCACTCAAGCAAATACTACTTAAAAATGTATCTATATTAAAATTACGTTAGCCTACATAAAATACATTGTAATATTTATAAAGCCAATACTAAAGTTTTAATATTTTGTTACCAAGGAAGAAAAATGAAAACTCTACTCATCATTCTAACTATTGCATGTCTGCTGCCAGACTACTTTTGTGATATTATCATACAAACTTCTAGTGGAAAAACACGGGGAAAGAAGATAAATGTCTTGAACAACGATCTATATGCTTTTTTCGGAATTCCTTACGCACTTCCTCCAATTGGTGAGCTCAGATTTCAGAAACCTCAACCAATCTCAGCATGGAACGGAATTTTAAATGCGACTACGATGTCACCTATTTGTATGCAAGATCCAATCTTTCCTATATTTGAATGGGTACCAGACAAACGCAGATATATGAGTGAAGACTGTCTTTACTTAAATGTCTTGGTTCCTGTTCACAAAACAGAAGACAAGCCATTTTCTACAATGGTTTGGATCCACGGAGGTGGATTCAATACGGGAACGGTCAATATGGACGCTCATTATGGACGATTTCTTTCTTCCATCGGAAATGTGATTGTCATTAGCTTAAATTATCGATTGGGTATATTTGGATTTTTCAATTTGGGCAACGCTCAAACAACAGAAAACATGGGATTGTTGGATCAAGTTACCGCTTTGAGATGGATTCATGAAAATGTAGAAAACTTCGGTGGTGACAGAAATGAAATTACTCTTTTCGGGTCCAGCGCTGGATCTATATCTGTAACGCATCATATGATATCACCCTTAACAAAGGGCTTATTTAAAAGAGTTATACTTCAAAGTGGAAGCAACTACAGCCCAATGTTTTCAGCTGACCCAATTTATAATATCAGATCAAGTGAAATGATAGTGGAACGTACAGGGTGTGGATCTGACAACGGGTCATGCACTCAAAGAAGGGAGAACGACGTGATGAATTGTTTACTTAAATTAAAAGCTGAAAAAATAGCAGCTGCAGAAAGATCTTTCATGAATGATGAGGAAACTATAGTAAGTTTTCTACCAGAGAGAGATGACTATTTTCTACCCAGTGATCCCATTGGTAATATAGAAAAGGGTTTAATACACGATGTTGACGTCATGATTGGAAGGGTACCTGACGAAGGTTCGACACTTATAGCATACTATAAACCAGAAGTTCTCAATCAAGAACATCCAGTGATGACTAAATCAGAAGCTAAACACAGTTTGAGCAAATTTTTTAAGCTTAATGATTCCGGTCTTCAATATGTCGTTGAAAAATATTTAAATTTTTCAGATGATTATTATTGCGGTATATTTCAACGTACGCAAGAAGCAATTGGAGATGGTGTATTAACATGCCCAATAATAGGCTTAATAGAAAAACTCTCTGAGCATCATCACGTCGTATATAATTATATATTCAATCACGCTCGAATTAATGCTGGTTACAAGAAATGGGAGGGAATTTCTCACTTTGCAGAAGTATACTTTGTCTTCGGTATTCCATTCATGTTTCCCGAAAATTACACTCCAGAAGAAGAAGAATTTAGTTATCAAGTCATCAAGCTTTGGACTTCTTTCGCCAAAACTGGGTAAGGAAAGTTTAAGCTAACGTATTCACTTTATCAAATAGTTAACTAAAGTTATAATATTATATAATAGTTCATTTATAAGTGTAGTAACACGTGTTCAGTGCCAATTGTTTTTGTTCATTTTCCATTTATGATATGTTAGTTTAAATCCAATCAGAATAAGCAAATATACATAAAACGAATTTAAATTATATGACATATAAGAATTTACTTAATATTGAATAGGGAAATTCGCTTGATTTTCTTTTGGAAACAAGCAAAGTAAACAAATAAACGAAAATTAAATGAATTCTTGCATAAAAATTAAATATTTTTATTATAGGGGAGACCGGGGCAACTTCGGCATGCGGGGCAAGTTTGTCAAGCGCTTTTTTTTTAAAAACAAATTAAAAGGAGACTTTGGTTATAGGTTAGGCAGTTGAGTTTTATTGGTGGCTTGTTGAGTGTAGTGTTTTTATTGTTCTCCAACAAGCGTAGTTGAATTATCAAGCAAATTTTCATTTTCGTTCAATTCCATATAATATTTTTTTTCCATTTATATTGAATTGGCAGGTTTTGTTATAATTCCATGATAACGAAAGT